TTTAAACACTCATTTATTAAAAATTAAAGTATAATTAATCATAAAACTGTTATCATAATATCTATTTATTTCTAGTGAAATACGAAAAAATATTAAAATAATAGATACTTATATTATTTTAAATATTAATAAATAAATACATAATTGAAAAATAATTAATATACAGTTTTAGAAAATACAATTTAATTTTTTTTTAATTTAATTAATTTTTTTAATAATTAATAATTTATTGGGGTAAAATAATTTTTTTTTTAATATTCTGTTATGATTTCATTATATTATTACATTTAGGGCTTCGAATCAAAAACGCAGATATAATAGGTTGTAAAATAGTATATATATATTATGTATCCTTAACAAAAAAAGTGAAAGTATAATATTTTTAAGAGCTTAAAAAAGTATAGATTGTAACTATTATTATTAGAGCCCGGATTTATATGCATTTGCATGTTTGTACTAAATGTATACATGTCTATGAAGGTTTAAAATGTCCACAATTCATATCACACCGAATTTTATATTGCATATTTTGCATATCTCGAGGATTATTGCATATTTGTTCATAAATGTATATAATATGCCTATTTAATGGGTTTTTAATAAATTAAAATTGTTTGTATTTTTTTTAAATTTTCTATTCGTTTTTTGAGAATAGGTAACTTAAAATAATTTAAAATATTTTTTTTAATTTTTTTTTATTTGTATTCTTGTTCATAAGTTCTTTAGAAGTTTTAGAATGATGTAAATAATTTGAAATATAAAGCAATAGCAAGTGAGACAAACTATGTTATATGGTTCAGAGTGTTGGGCAGTTGACAGGTAAATATAACAGAGTATGAGTGTTGTGGAAATGGGAATATTTAGATGGATGAGTGGAAAGACAAGAGAAGATAAAATAGGGAATGAATATGTAAGAGGTAGAATTAGTGTACCGTATTATCTATAATGGACAAGATGAGAGAAAATAAACTAAAATGGTTTGGGATGTGGGATGTGGGTTTGGCATGCGATGAGAAGTGAGGAAACAAATGCAGTAAGATTTGTTATGAAAATTAAAGTTGAAGGGAAAAAAGGAAGGGGAAGACTAAAAAATAGATGATTAGAAACGATTGAGAATAATATGTGGGGTCATTGATGTGTGCGTAGGGGATATAGAAAATCACAGATTGAGGATACGAGTGGAGGTTTAGGACAAGGGTGGCCGACCCCAAACAGTTGAGGAAAAGGCAAAGGAGAAGTTCTTCTTAGATGAAGAATTATTGTTATTGTAGACAATAATTGTTGGTTGGGATATATAGTCTGTTTGTTTTGATTTGAGTATACTAATAATATTACCTAAAAGTATCTATCTACAAATCACTTATCTAAGATTCAAGAAAAGAAATTGAACATTCCTAAGTGTGAATTTAAAAAATATTAGACATAAAATATATAGTACTTCCTACTGAAAAGTTCTTTAAATATACCAATACACTGAAGGTTTTTTTCGTAGAATTTGTTATGGGGCCCAGCATTAGGACATATGAATATATTATATAACAATAGGGACACCGCGTACAGCAATCTTTATATAAGGGAGTCCGGGGAAATCATTATTCAAAGGCGATCCAGCTAAGTAGTAGAGATACACATTTGACGTCAGTTTATTATTTTATTATTGAAAATTCATTGTTGAATATTATATTGTGAACTATTAAATTATAATGTAAGTTACCTATCAAAAGTATTTGTTGAAAGTAAATAAAAGTAAGTGTTATAATTCTGTACCATATTCGGCATCATTACTGTTAAGTTGAATATAAAATTTGACACGCAACAAGTTACTCTAAAGTTCCCCACTAAATAGTCTAGAAGTGTACACAATATTTGAAGAAATACCTAATACATTAAAATCGAAAACCAACAATAATAACAACTGTTAACTACCTAATACCTATAATAAGTATATTTAGAGTGTAAAAAAGAAACTACAAAATGAAAATGAAATAGCGTATTACAATGTACAATATTTAATATTATTTTTAGTAACAACAAACTTAAATGATAAGAAAACCCCGATAACCAGCTCCAAAAAAATAGCTGGCGTTGCTCCCGCTATTCTCTCGTTAAGTGAGCATGTGCACCGTGCTTTGGTGCTTTATAAGATATTGCTTAATTTATCACAGATTGAGAATTACTTGTTTTTAAACTGGTTTTAAACATGTGAAAAATAAATAATAAATAATATAATATATTAATTAATATAATATAATAACATAATTAATAATACTATTGACAATTTAAAAATAAACAAACCAAAAAAAAAGTGATTTGTTTTTTTAGAAAAAATATGAAACATAACAACTCTGGAGCCATAATATTAAACGTATCACAAAAGTTAGTTTTAAAAAAGCATTGAATTTATCTGTATTAGCAATAAAGGCGACATGTGACGCATTGAATCCTACAGGAGATCTGGCTAATAGATGCGATCGGGTAGAAGGATATTAAAAAAAGAAAAAAAAATCGACAAAAAAAATACGATCGGTGAGATGAATAAGATTTGTATTTGTTGAGTAAGAATAGTCAGGTTTGGAATAGTCTATAGGAGTTTGGAAATAAATCTCGCTAGTATTTGGTTTAATATTATAATTAAACGTAAATAATTAATTGTTATTATCTACGTGAACCTGTAATTGCTATGAAGTCAATAAGTTGATACAACCCTCGATAAATCATCTGCAGGGTAATAGCCTGAAATGACCAAAAGTTTCCTAATTGTATACAAAATGCTCGCATAAAATAGATTCTAATATCAGTTACTTGCTGTATGTTTGCATGGATGCACCTGGATATTAAAAACATGCATTTCCGTACTGGATATTTTGATGAATTTCGTATTCACAGACTAAATAATGTCATTAAATGGGTTATATCCTGTGTTTCGTTCCGGATGAGTACAATACGAGTATATGTATATAGACACATCATACAATCGACTCTGTATAATATGCCCTCGAAATTAATACAAACATAATCGCTTTTCGGAGTATAGACTATATTATTATTTACACGTAATGTATCATTAAACGTTAAAAATCTTAAAATGTAATATTAATAAAATTTAAAAAGTATTATTTGTTTTTAGTAATTTAATAAATTTAATAACACGACAAGTTTGAATTTTATGAATGTTTAATTTCGCAATGTTACACTGTATCGCAACTGCATATCTAATTAAAATATTAACTTATAAATTGCTAAAATTACTCAAATGCGTAAAATCATATACGGATCTAGGATTTTTTTTATCCTATACACACTTTTTCACCTCGATCACTTTTATTCATCTATTCCTAGTGCATACTTTATTCAATTATAAACTTACATTTACAGAATGTTTCTGAAATAGTTGAATAAACTAGAAAAAGTATATTCGCTGCAGTGATCAATGAAGTACAATGAACATCACACCTTATTATTTTGATTCTGGTGACTTGAGCTTGAAATATGCATAACGGTCATAAATAATAGTACATCTTGATTCTTACAAAAATGTTGCTAAAAACAAATTTTGAGTATTAATTGTTATGTTTAAGATAGTTCTAAAAAAAAATTCGATACAATTCAGATTTTGAAGATGAAAAAAGTTTCGAAAAATTGTAGCAAGTAAGCTAAAACGAGTTACCTCAATCATTTTAGAAATACGCTGTATAGTAAAATAGTGGGCATAATAATATTTACCAATTTATATGACTTTTCTAGTTGAAATAGTTTTCTTGTTAACCTTTTCGTAAAAAAAATATAATATGTAATAATATATAATATACATAATAACAGTAATAGCACCGCTTTCAGACAACTACTAACATTTTAAAAATGTTATTAAATTATTGACTCATATAGATGTATAAAATACATAAAATATATTATGCCTTCTTAGCTACATATTTCAACCGTAATGTTTATGCTTATGTCATAATATGTTCAAGACTGGTAAAATCATAATTATTACAAATAATCATGTGATTGAGATTTGCATGTGTATTTAACAGAAACGATTATGTTTGATCACTTAATGATAATTTCAGTCTTTGATACAGCTTTGAGTAAATTATTTGTTTCACTATTATAATTTTTATAACATTTAAATTTCATGTCCAACATATTTGCTTTTGTCGTAATTTATGAATAATTATTGCATTATGGTCGATGTTCGGCCAAGGCCCAGGAGTGTCATCGGTTGCTACATGCTATTATTTTCTTCGCTATTGGTGTAATGAGTCACGAAGACTGCTCATTATTAATTAATATTATACTCCGTAATTTGTTTCACCGGCGTGGCATAACGCGTGCTATACTACTTTTTACTAACATTTTTGTACCAAAACTGCAGTAACGTATCTACAAAATAGACATAAAAGTTACCAAATTATTGTACACAGTAAGCCATATTTTCAACATATTATCTTTGTGTCACCTATCTGTTCATCATTCGTCTTATACGAATCCAGTCGCTTCGTGTTGTCAGGTCAGATCCGTCCAACTGCTTTGTTTACAATCCGTCTTGTCGTCGTCGTGTGTCCATCATCCATCATTGTTTATCGTCCTGACCACTTTACCCTCTTCGCATGTATTAGTTTTTAATTTGTAAGGTAATTTGTAAGTTGTATACCTAGTGTTTAAATCTTAGGAATGGTATCGGATTGATATGATAAACCATGTGCGTCATCGTAACCATACCGGATCGACCACATAATCCACCTCTACATACATTTTTAGAAAATAATTTTCAAGTTTAAAAGAATAAGAGAAGTAATAATATAAGTAACAATATAAGTAATATAAGTAATAATAATAAGTAATAATTAATTTTAAAAACGATTTCAATAAAACAATTTTAGGACCATCTTCTACGATTTTTTTTAATTTTATGTATAGCTCGTTGAATTATTTTATTAGAGAATTTGAATACGCAGCATAGTTATCATTGAAATAATTGTATTTTATTTTTGTTTTAGCTTCCCGATACTACTGCGTTGGGTCTTATTAATGTTCGCTGAACTATAATGTCCATATTACCACCATCGCGCGGAGGAATTTTGTTCGGACTGGGTATAGCTTACTTACTTGTGCAGTACATATATGTAAGTTATTATAACGAGCCACGTCGGATCGACAGTTTCATTACCACAACGACACAAGAATACCTCCCTTCAACGAACTCCGTGTCAATAATGCATCTCAACGTTTCCGGCATCGAGGCCATGGTGAGTAGTAAACAGTATTATAGCAACAATAAAAAATACGGATAGTGAGTGTGCTAGAATGTACGTAACTTGTATTAACTCCAAGAGATATTGTATTATATGATAGTATTTTTATTTTAAAACATTTCGAGCGTGTTATTATTGTGAACGCACTTACTCATAGTGGACGTTTTCTTATTTGATTTCAGGCCCCGAAGGTGTGTGATATTTAATTTAATAAAAATAAAAGCAAATTTAATTGTTTTATTGAAATGCATCATACTAATCAACTCTTTTAGCTAGGGCTCAAAACCGATCCCGAATTATGAGGTGATCGGTCAAAAAATGTTTAATACCAGTTACCTTATATTTTTATCGTTTTATATTACCGTTATGAGGTAACCGTTACTTTAGTGGTATAAAAAATATAATGTTAACCGGTTACTAGTGCTCTACACGGTCCGTTATTTAAAGAACCAGACCGGACTTCAAATTTTACCAAGGGGCTAAAGTCGGACCGGACCACACTTAAACGTTAATTAAAGACCGAAATTGGATCGAACCGACGGCTTCATATAATTTTTAGACCAGACCGAACCAGTAATTAAATAACATTTAATATAGTAGAACGTGGATCGGACTGTTGGTCCGATCTTAAAACATTTTGAACCGTTTATAGACCGGTCCGTAAGGGTCAGTCTGTATTAGCCCAGACCGTACCATATGATGTGTTTAGTATTACACTGGGTGGACTACCCAACTGTATAAATAAATATATATCTAAAGTTGTAGGTTTTTCGTTTTATTTGTTTACATAACAATATCTGTATTTAGATTTTAAGTACCATGATTGGAACCGGACTGAGACCAGACCGGACTGATTTTCATTTTTTTATTTGAAACCGGACCGGACTGAAAATAATGCATTTGATCTGATAACTGGACCGAACTACTCCTAAAAATTATTGAACCGGACCAAAATGACGATTCAATAGTTTTTATATGTTAAAACCGTACTAGACCGGACCATGCAGAGTACTACCGGTTACCATTTAAAAACCGTTATTTATAATATTTTATTACCCTATACTAGTTAAAAGCCAGTTTTCGACAAATTTTCATTTTCATCCTATTTATATAGAAATTGTAAACGATTTAATTTCTTGTATACCTAAATGCGATAACATTAGTATCAGTTCATTAATTATTTTTATTTTACTTCAATTACTGGATTCTTAGCGTTTGAAATAAAAGTTCAAATAAACTAAATTATCAGAATGTAAATCAAAAGGTCAGTAAACGTAACAAAAATAAATTATAATTAGATAAATTTAAACTGATAAATTAAAAACTATGCACGTTATTTGTATCTAATGTGCAATTAATGATTGATTAAACAAGGAACATACAGGCTTTATTTTATCACATGACACTTATAAAGTACAAAAAAACCTACTTCATGTTATAAATCCATACTAACAGTGTTTGACTAACACACGAGCGTTAATTTACGGTGCGTTATTTTACGATAACTACGATATTTATGATGAATATATATACGAGTATAATATACTCAATATATATAGTGTTACAACAAATATTTACTTCTATTGAGTATTTGTCCATGTATCAATAAGACAACGAACATAATGGCAGGAAAAAATATTATTTTTTTAGGTAAAAGTAACTTTTTATAAAAATTAAAAGATAAATTAATAGATACATGTAGATTTATCCTTTCATAGTATTCCGAATATGTCCTGCCGAAGGTGCATTTCATTTTATTATTAAAAGTATCAGCAGAGATCTAGAGAATTTTTTAAAATTATTTTCAGCACGGGTCGGCATTTGATGAGCTACTGTGTATCTTAACTATTGATGATACTTGACACACAAACTACGAATGGATGAATATTAAAAATAAAATAATAATCGGTCGCAGATTGTGTAATGCCACGTATGTAGTCTCTACGTTTCTTTTAATGAATTTGGATTGAAGTTCTTATCGCACAATATTTCTACCACGGTTTTAAGTCAAGGTGTACTTACGCGACAGTTTTAGAAGTGTCGCGGGTTAATTTCACGGCACGATACTCCTGTGTTGTGTTTTATTGGTTTTAATGTAGGTACTTTATAAACTAACAATAATTAATATTTAACTAGCAAAACGGGTTTAAAATTATGGCGTAGTAAAATAACGTTCGTGTGTTTCTAACCAAATTCAGAATTTTATTTAACGACTAAATATCTTTTAAAGATTAAACAGTCATAGTCATAACAATATGATATAATATAGAGGAAAACAATTTTTATTTAAAAGTGAGCTGCCAAACTTGCGGGTTGTTTAAAGACACAATATACTATTCATTACACAAATGCATCGAATCATATGAATTTAAAATACAAATAAATTCACGAAAACTTTTTTAATAATAATATTAACAACAGATATTTCTGGGACACTGTAATATGGACAACCAATTATATTAAACAATAATAATTATCATAGAGACCGTTTCTTATACTGACTATACTCGTATGTGGTTTAATAGATAAACAACGCTCGGAGGCATTGAATTTAGACATTAGAAACAATTCTAAAGTCAGTTTCAAATATTACTGTCATTTTAATTATGGAAATAAAATATTAAAAATAGATAAAAACCGTTAAGAAATATAGGTTTAAGTTCAGGAATATAGCTGATAGAAAAAGGGCCCTTAACTAATTTATATGAAAATTCTAAACATAAAGTCATGTTGTTCTTTAAATGTAAATATTTTTCATAAAAACATAAATGAAATTAATAAACGAATATTAATAAACATACAAAATAAAAAGGAAATTCAATTTATTACTATATATAACAAAATTCGTATAGTGGAAATTTTATTTTACTTTAATATTGATTGTAACAGGACTAACTACATTTTATTTGAGAATTTATTGTTAAATATAATAAAATTTTCAATTATTTTGTAGTCTAAGAATTTTCCAAGATCCATGTACCCTATATTCAGTGAAGTCCAGAGGTATAGTTCCATTTCACTTTCCACCATTGCTTTGATTAAATAGATTAAAACAAATTTGATAACATAAGGTAACCAATAAACCATTCATAAATTCATAATAATTATGAATTATTAAGAAATTATTAAGAATTATTCTATTGATTATCGGTATTATATTATCGTTGTTTTTTTTATGTGGTGGTCGGTTCTCGAAATATCAGATTTTACCTGTTTTCGTTTAAAATCAATAATCGGTTAAAAGTCCTGCTTTTAGCGGTTTTTTTCTTTATCTAGAGTATCTTAATAAATATAAAGATAAATACTCTGCTAAAATTGCAATACTTTAACAATCAATATTATATAGGTATGTCTGAGATTAAGTACAAGTTTTTTCGGCAGCAGACTTGGTAGCAGTATATTCTTTAATTAGTTAAACCTAATTAAGTCACAGATTTTCTGTTTTTATTTTAATAAAATAACCATGTCTTATAATTGTAATCGAATACTCGTATTCTGCAATAATATTATTAACATTATTATAAAGTGAGACAAAAATTATTTGCTTTGTTATTAAAAGTTTTACTTCTAGTAGTTGTGTAATTACAAATGTTTAAATATTTTAATTTGTTCAATTAAATCACTGAATTATTTTATGAATTTATTTCCTTATTATATTTAATATAGTTATAAATATAACATTACTTATTATTATTATTAATATTTCTTCTAAAATAAAAACAATTTTATTTTAGAAGTGTAATATAATAAGTCTGGTCCATTTAAATATATAATTGTTTCCAAACAAAAGCTTATTATGGTAGTTCACTGTAGACGTAAAGTTTTAGTAAATTATTGGTCCATTCAAACGGAAAATATTTTATCGTAAAGATGTCGTTGAATTTTATTTTAGATGTTTTGTTACAGGCTTCTCGAGTAGTCACCGATTCACGTTGATTTACTCCAATAATGGAAGTTTAAAAATGAAAACGACTAGATATCTTTGAACATACATGCATAACATTATTCCACTTTTTCGCATTACTGTCCTTTTTATAATATACCTATATATTTTGAGAGTATGAACTCAACAAATCAATGTTAGAAAACGTGTATCACATAAAACGGTTCAATACTCTAACAATGTTTTGAATGAAGCAATGTTCTGGACGAAGTCTAAAGTTTATTTAGGATATACTTATATATTCAAACTATACAGTTAAGGTTATTTCTTGTGTACCGTGACATCACAAATAATACGATCGATCAGCAGCTTTCTATATTTGAGTGGGTTGTAAATTAAAACGACTGATACGTAATAGAAAATTATATTAAAACCTTACACAAGAATAGTTGTATATAATGATCGGATATATAATATAATAACCTACTCAATTTTTTTTCAGCGAAATATATCGAGTATTTTTTTAAATAATACATTATACCTTTTATAAGAGAAGTTAAGCGAAAAATATATGTGTTATATTTATATTTTCTGTCATTATAATGCATATGTATTTATATATATGTATGTATTACTTTAAATGCTTCGAAATTTTATAAATCAATTATAAACTGTCACTATGGTAGTTTAAATAGGTCATTTTTTATACTACACATTTTATTTTTCAGTAGTATTAGTTTTCATTGTTTTGAATTTTAAATTTAATATTTTATTTTAAGTTTTTCTTTGATAAACTTATAATTAATTTTTAAGACTTTAAGTATGTGAGAACTATAAGCCTATTTCGATATCGATTTTTATTTTTTGTATTATCAGTTGAGTGTCGTCCACTTGTAATCAAAAATTATAATTTTAAGGTAATGCATTTATACAGTAAATATTGCGATATTAAAGCCAATCCTATCACACTCAACAAATTATAAAAGGTTATATATATCTATTAAATCTTGTTTGTTTTAGTAGCGTGAACAATACTTATCAATTTATAAATGGTAAATAAAATTCAAGTTTAAATATTAATCTATACAGATTTTAAAATTATAATTTCTGTCGGTTTACTTATAAATCCGATTCTCTTTTACTATATGTAAATAATCTTATCTTAAGCAAACATTTATGTACTACAATGTATCATATATAACTATACCACTGATCAATTATTACTAAATGGCAGGTTCATATGAATATAATAATAACACTATCACTTTTCATCAAGCTCCGTATGGCTTTATGACTATGACTTTACCACTATGACTTTCAAAATTTCTCATTTCTGTGGTCATATACCCTGTATTACTACAAGAGCAGTATGATATAATTAAACTTACTCATATGTACGACTACCATTATTCATTATCAATAATTATTGTTGAAAATGAAAGATTCAAACATGTTTATGGTTCTCTAAATTACTGATCATCATAAACACAATCGTAAAATATAATCAATATTAAAAAAATGTAGTACAATGAAAAATCAATATATAAACATTGAATCTATCATTTCACTAAAGTTTAATTCATTTAGTTGAATACGTTTTTTTCTTTAGAAATAAAATAAAATGGAAAAACCAAATTTATGATTTGAAACAAAAATATAATCGTTTTATTAAATATAGTAATATAAGTTGCGAGCTAAGAAAGTATGGTTGAAAACAATAACGCTATAATTTCAATTTTTAATGCAATGTTGTATGCGCATTTAGTATAAATACCCATATACGGATCTATATTTTTCTCTTTGCTTATACTACAGTTTACAACACTGTTATCTCACTGAGCACCAATGTTGGGAAAGATAACTAATAATTTGATTTAGATTAAAGATAAATATAAAGATCGAAGATTTATCTAAGATAAAGATAAAAGACAAAATGTCAGTTATCTATATGTAGGTGAAATAAAAAGATAAAATATTATTTAGAATTATATTATTATTAATTAAAATAATATTAAAAATTTAATTCTAAGCTTTTTTTTTTTTTTTTAATAAATCTATGTCTTAAGATTTGATAGAATATTTTTATTTTTTTACAAGTGAATTGGTAAATCTTATATGTTAATGCGTCTAATTATTATATCTTCTACTTTTTCTTTCCTTCGAAATAATAATTTTAATAAATAAATAAGAATAAGCAAACAATAGTTTACACTTTAGTACTTAACACTATACATAATTGGAAATAATTTACACATATATGTGGCAAAATATTTGACAAAATTCGATTGTCAGATTCAACGGATTAAATTTTTTATTTAATTTTAGTAAGTTTTCCAACAGTCGATTGAAGAACATAGATCTTTATCGATTATGAATCATATAAATTTTAATTAAATTATTGCTATTATTACCCCGTCACAGTTCATATAATTTCAATTATTATTCAATGATTAATATGATTATGAATCTAATGTAGACAAGAGTGAGTAAATAAAATAATGAGATAACTTTTTAACAAAACCTAAAAATAAATTATAATTAAAAAAAAACCTCCAGATTGCTTAATTTACATATACCTTATACCATATATAGTATAAGGTCTATGTTAATTTAATATCTGTTATCTATCGACAAAAAAATCACCAAAAGATAATTACAATTATAAGATAAAATATTTTGGCTTTATATAGATAAAAAATAAAAGATAACTTCTACGTTATCTAGATTATCTTTTTGATAATTTATCCAAATAGTCCCAGCACTGCTGGGCACACTATCAAACCAACACTAGCAAATCTCCGCTGCCACATGTCGTTCAGCGAATACTAATAAAGTAATAAGTAATATTCTAATGTGTGGTTCGCCAATGTTTCCAATAAGACTGCTGCTAAACGTATCCATTAAGGTTGTATTTTTCATCGCAATTATACTCCTCATGTTGTTATTATTAATATTTTATAGGTACTCCGTAATTGGTACCATTTCCTGTAAAGTTATAAACATTGTTAAATACTATACGATTGCCCCGAAGCGTAAACAGCACGAGCATCATCGAGGACCACCTCATTTTGTGCCAGAAACAACACTGACAACAATTGTGTCAAATGTAATGCGACAAACATGAGGTTTTTCCTTCACATTCACTGTTCGACTCCGAAATCAATACGTGCTCTGAATTGAATTTTTTCTTCCGTCGTCTGAATCCAGCGTCATTGCTATTATCGTTACCTCGTCTCCAAGTTTATTATAATTACTTTTTTTTCATTGTGGTTTTGTTATTAGCGCCCAGGTTCAACGTAACTTTCATGATCTAAAATATCAAATAAATTATCTGTATGGTTACCATATTGTTGTACGCGATAACACGACCGAGGTACAATCAAATAATAATCCAATAATAAATCCGATGGTGATTTACAATGGTGACAAGAAAACCCTAAGTCGCTGAATACAGTGTAACTTGTTTGATATCAATGGCAATTTAATATACTAGTAGGTACTTCAGAGTATAAAGTGTCTTTGTAACACTGATATGAAAAAGGTTTGTTTATACTACAAGTTTAGAATCAGTTTCCTCAATAAGCACCTACAGTGTAAATTTAAAAGGTCTCTTGAAACTTCCATAACACTATTCAGTATAATTAAATAATGAACTACATACAAAGAACATGGATAGATAATAACCACTCTAATCGGATATTTATCTTTTGATGCACGTAACTCTGTAACGTTCGCTTTCAGTCAGCGTTATCATCTTGGGGTTTCCAATAGCCTAGTTTTAGATATCGACTAAACCATCTGCAGTATGTGTCTGCGAATCTGCTACTAACCAGTACAACCTCGAGTTACAAGAGACTGTCCTAATCTAAGGATCAACATTTTGAAACCTTGATGTTTGATTGACTGTTTTACAACAGTTGTTACATCAGTTTAATGCAATGATGTTTTACACCTATTAATCAATTTTGCAAGACTTCGCGAGTCGTGAATCGGGCTGCTTACAACATAAAACTCAAGTTCCCTGTCTCTAATATTTCAATAGTTATCTTCTGGTCGTTTTTCATCGTAACAACATGTAATTATACCATTACATTTTACGCTTTAGACCATACACATAAATCTAGATGAACGTTTGACATGATTTAATGATATGACCGGATTAGATTATGTCTACAAGAATTGAGAATGGTATTTTCCAGCATCCAAGGAACATGCTATCAGCAAGATATATTTTAAATGCCTTCATTTACATTATATTGTTTGTATCTTATCATACCAAAAATCTAATAATATTCTTTATATTTTAATATTTTAATACGAAATACATACATACATAATAGCTGAAGGAACACTTTATGTGGAAAAATAGCTGCTTCTGAAACTTGAACTCCTTTTATAGAACTAATTAGTTTGTTTGATTTGTTGAACTCAACGATCAATTACTATTTTCTTGACAAAGCTTAACAATTTAAAACTCTAGTTCAGTTAAGTTCATCTAAATTTATGAGTGAAAGCACTGCATTCATACATACTACATCTAAATTTGTAAACGTACAATGTTCAACATAATTTTTTTTAAATCTATATCGTTGCACCAAGTAGTATATCAAAGTAATTATGTAATGTGATTAATATATACAGAGATCCTCGTTAGCCGTAAATTTTTTTTATCTGTGGTTTTATTTATCCGTTGTTTACTCCGTGAAAAAATATATTAATGCGATAATATTTTATCTATAATATACGAGCACTGTGCATAATTTAAGTAGATTAATTGTTGTAGATAATTTTTATTATCGTATCGTCATTTGGTAGAAAATATAAAATAGTCGAATCTGGTGTTCGAGAAAAAGAAAAATTTGAAGAAACAATACGAGGCAATGTTATGGAAAGTGCTCCTATTTATTAAATAAAAATATTACTGTAAAAAATTAATATAAACGTTATTGTGATTTTAAAAATAAACAAATAAATTTTAACATCCTTTTTTATATTTCTTTATGGTCTCGTTATCCGCGCAACTTGACTGAAACGTAACTTCCACGGATAATGAGGGATTATTTTATATATTAACTAATCGATAGCAAAGTTGAAATTATAATTTACTCGTAAATATTATATAAGGTTTTATTCAATTAAACTTGGTATTATATTTTCACAACAACTTCACAATATGTTTGTATAAAATTTTTAAGTATATTTTATGTTTCGTATAAAAAACTATGTTTTAACAAATTTATTCATAATTGATCCAAACAAATACATTTCATTAGTACACATATATTATTATAAATAAAAAATCAAATTTTAGTTACTAAAAAATTAATTTCAATAAAAAAAAAAAAAATTGTAATTCTAGTGAATATTATGTTATAAATTAACTTGTTATCCTAATAGTAAATTATATCTAAAATAATTGACTTTCGGAATAACAGACTTTTTTCTGTAACCCAAGTGTATTAAATCTTAAAAACTATGGATTTATTATAAAACATTACTAATATTAAAGTGTACTAAAGTATTTATTAAGATAGAAACAACATGCTTTACTAATTAAGCTCCTAGATATTTTGTTGCTATAATAATGTTAATAATTTAATATACTCGAACATTATATATTATTTGATATTCAATTTACCAAAACAATGGTAAATCGTTCCTATAGTAGATAGTTAGTACACCATCTCACCGAAAAACTATTGAACTAATAATAAATGATTAATTTTATTATTGTAATTATATTTTAATTTTTTTATAGATTTACAATAACATTCAAACTAAACAAACGAATGAAAAACAACCTCTCACGCCATGTCCTCAAACTCCACCTGACTTAAGTAAGTTGATATGTTTATAGATATAAGTTAAAATATATAATTGGTGAGGGTAAAAAAATAATACAGTTTACTTAAACAATCTTAAAGTGATTTAAAAAAATTGAAATAACAAACAAAAATCATACTAATACCCAATCTTATAAAACGTTAGAATAATAATTTTAAATTAAATAAAACCTATAAATAGTTAATATATTATTATAAGTTGCGCATCTAGGTAGGTATTCAAAATATCTATACAATTTAAAATAATCAAAAGGTGTTTCCTTTTTAATCGCTAGTGAAAAAAAAACTAAGTGCTGAAAGTTACATATAAATTATGACTAACTAGTGATTATTAAATATACACCTGGCGCCACAATAAGTACATTAATTTGATTACTAACATATATAGTTCATTCAATATTAATATTTATTAACTACAGTACTACTGACTTATGCACATATTATGATGTGTAATGTGTTACACGCTGTATTTATAGGTTTTTATAAAATGTCCGAAGTGTTCAATACTGCGACAGTAAAAGATAGATTCTTTTCACAATTAGCTTTATATACAAAGGCACAGGTGGATATTATTTATAAGGGTGGGGAGGACGTTATGACTATCAATTATTTGTAAAATGAATGAATTAGTGTTTGTGAAAAAAATTTCGAACAAATCATGCAGCATGTAATAATTAAATATTTTTATTTTTATTTTACTACACACAATTAAGAAAAATTACTTATAAATATTATGTAAGTAAATTTAATTTTTGTCTAAATTATACTAATTCATTCACAATTTGTAATGATTCCATTAGTAACGTTTCTATAAATATTAAAAAGTACAAGCACAAACGCAATTGATCGATTGTATTTTTTAAATATGTCTTTTAATGCTTCCAAGTGTAAAATAACGTTCCGCACTCACCGTAGACATAGGGACAGTATCTAAATTTTTCAAAAGCTATTATCATAGGAAAAAATAACTTATTACAGTTTTCTAATACTGCCACTACTTTTGATTTCAAAGATAATAAAATGTACGTATTAATATAACTTAATACTAGGTTATCTTATTTTATTAAACCAATATAATAGTAGATACTTATCTTGAGAATCACAAATATTTTTTATTACCAAATAAATTTTTATAAAATTGTATTATAAATATTTATCTTCACTCAACACATTCCACACAAGTATAGTTTTACAATGATTTGTTTTAATGTGTAACTGAAAAAAGGTCTTTTGTTCTTTCCAGTACCTACATCAAAATTAAAAATTCCTTTAATAATTAAATATTTACTATTTGAGGTTTAAATGAACCTTCGAAATATAAAGGTTGAACTTCCCCTTCCTTACTTACATTGCTGGTTATACATTTTGAAAACTTTTACACAATTACGTAAGACTCACAATTCATACAGTAAAAATGTTAACTTAATTTACCAAACAGGATTTTATGAGTTGCGGGAAAAAAACATTTTGACATTTTTATTGCGTAAAAATAATATGTATAAGGTATTATAGCCTGTATATACACAGTACATTTTAAAATATTTATTCTATATTTATCATTGCGTTTAATTAATTATTTGGTAAAAAAGTACACCAATTAATTAATAATAATATTTATGAGAAACAAAAAAGTTTACAAAATTATTATAATTGTATTAATTATTATAAAATATTAATAATGTAATTTTACCCGAAATAATATATACTGAAAAAAAATATTATAAAATAATTAAATCGATAAATTTCAGTTCATATAATTGGTTACACACTTAACGAATTATAAAACACCACCTGTATTGCAATATTGTAAATTTTTTCAATTGTACCTTGTATAGTTGTCGAATGTAATATTAAATAAAAAAATAAGAATCAGAATTTAAATATTATATAAAACAATCAAAGTCGAATAGTTTTTTTTTTTTCACTATCTTATAACATTTTATAATAAAATCACTGTCCAAAAGCATTAGTTTCAATTTTAAACATTATAAATTATTATTGTTTTAATTCTTCTCATATGACGTTAAATAATTTTGAATTCCACCTCTCTTTTCGACACTATTATAATAAATTTAATATAATAACGATGATTCATACATTTTTATGGCGATATCTCGTGTTTTCGTATTGTTATTGTTGTAGAAAATAAGCTGTTATGATTTGTGGTCTTTCAAAAATTCGTTTAGATACGCGTTTTCAAATTATCACTATATATTGGACTATATCTAACTCAACTTAGGTTTTAAAATAATTATGTAGTGTATAACATGATTGTGTTAAAAAGAAGAAAGCCTCGAAAAAGTTCGTCGTATTTTTCGGTGAACTGCGTTTTTTTCTTCCCAATTTTTTTGTCGACATTACACTATAAGTGTTGTGTGTTGGATGTGGAGACTATAATTTGGATGATTCTTAATTTTCCTTTAAAATAAACAGAATCTATTTCAGCCCACACAGCTGTAATTGAATTACCTTTTTTTTTATTTCATCTATAAATGGACATCCCTTCGAAGAACCGAATGAATATACCATATAATTGGTTAGCACCATTGGCTTTAGTGTCATAAGCAGAATTGGGCATGTGTCGAATAAAAAATTATTCTTTATTTATTTATTTTTCGTTTGATTATTCTAGCTTATACTACACCATATATACTTACACCATTTTAATTTTTACGACTGTGCAAATTTAATATTTTAACTGTTGAACCATCATAATTATTACTAAAGGTTTAAAAAAAAAAAAATTATTTTAACGATTATTCATTAGATATTCTACGGGTTATTATAAATTATTTTATTCGCTATTCGGTTATTCGTTACCTATTTAATTATTCGCCATTAATTATTCCATAAAATCGTATTTATCTCAAATAATTCGTAGAAAACTAGAAATTTCAACTTTATTGAAAATTGAATTTGTTGTGTTTCGTATTTTTATCTGTATCATACGTGGCCTTTGTAAGCAATCGCTGGAGTCACATATCGTAGTAGAATTTAGAGATTTGGGGTTTAAAATATGTACAAATGTACCTATATAGTGAACGTGTGATACTATTGAAAACGAAAAATTATAATTATACACACATAAATTGGGCGATTGCGACCAATAAATGATAAATATATGTAGTTTAATTGTATATATTTATGTGGCTATATTAATATCTAATGACACTGTTTACATTAAATAACATAAATTACAATAATAATAATAAGATATAATACATATAATGGCCGACAGCTGACTCACTAAACCACTAAGATGATGCTAAAGTTGATGTGACTCATCAATAACGAAGTGGCCAGTGATTAAAATATAATCGTGCACTTTAAATGACGTCGTCCTAACATGGGTATAATAATACATGACGTAATAATTGTATCTCTGATTGAACATGACTCAAACATTCGCTACGCTCAGCAACCGGTGGACTATGAACTAAGAATATCCAAATGAACAGTTTATCAATTATTATGGATTAAACATATACGAGTACGTCGACGTCCAACATTATCTTCAGGCTTTATTGTAAGATGCAGTATGACACTAACTGTGCATTAGAAACAATAAAATGTGCTGTAGAATTAACGAACATGTGCACTTTATTATTATAAAAGATGATTTGACCGTTCATGTAATATCAGTAAAAATAAATAAATTATAAACATGACGACTTGTTTGAATATTAAGTTAGTGAAACCGATGTTGGCTACTTCCACGTCGTTGGATTCATTATCTGTTTCATCAAAATCAATAAAACGAACGTGGAAAGTGTGGGGCGAAACTTCTTTGTAACTTACATTTTATTTGTGCAGTTGGAAAAAATTCTTACGATAAAGCTTGATTATCTGCTATCGAAAATATCATAAAAAAGTAATAATTTAAACTGTTTTAGATAAGAGGCTAATCTAACAGGTTTAACACTCGCTATCGACATGTCATTTGTTCTTCTTATTTTATTTTTTTATTACTTTCATTTTTTCTTTGAATATTATTCGCAATTTGCTTAATTCATTTATTCATAAGTTAAAATATTCAGAATAATTTTTATTTTTTATTCATAAATAAAATTATTTAAAATAAAATATTATTCTTTATTCACAATACAATCATTTATTCATGCATTCATTCTTTATTCATTATTTTGATTTGTTTTTTCTCAACTTTGGTTTTAAGCAACTAAAACCTATAGTTTTACTTTAATAGAAAAAATAAAAAAAAATTTTTACTACTTTTCGATCATGAAATTTCAACGTATATTGTCTGATCACTTGTTAGAAGTTTACCAGATACCATAGTTATCAGCTAAAATTAGTAACTTTATATGTAGTATAGTCAGTTATAAGCAACTGCATACGGATTATATATATGTATAATTTAAAGTACTGAAACACATCACCGTTAATAATTCGAATGCTGTTAAAATATATGTTTAAAAACACTTAAACATCATATTTGCCTGCATGCTCACTTACTCGACAGGAAACATAATTATTTATAATTCATCGATTTGTATCGACAAAAAAAATGTCTAACCCCGACTGACGATCAATTAATCACGTGACCGCTAATTTACTGCTGTAATTATTATTTCAAACGCGTGTCAATAAATATATTATTAATGGCCGATTAAATATTTTTAGATTACCGAACGCTCTCAGTAATAATGATGGTTAAATCACAATAAACAAATAAATATTCAGACAATGGAGATACTATTGTAAATGTGATAACTAGACCGCGGATTATATGCATTTGCATATCTGCATATGCAATTGCATATAATCGCCTTTTTTTACTAAGTATGCATATCTCATTGATTCATGATGTAAATGGCATATTGTTATTAATTTTCAACAAAAAACACAGTGATTGAATGTGTTAAAACACATACTACATATATATATTTTTTTATTTTTTTTTTTTTTTTATTTATATATATATATATAAACATATAATCCATACCGACCAAACTAATTGACTGGACGAGTTTCTA